AATCGGGCAGCGGACCTATTGAGTCCGTGGCCCCTGGGGATCTACATTGGGGCGGTCGAGCCCATGGCTTCTCAATGTGCTTTTTGCGATCAATCGGGCAACGGACCCCACGAGTCCGTGCCCTCTGGTGATCTACATTGGGGCCTGGTTGCGCCCATGCCTCTACAATGCGCAAGCTACAACAATGAGGACAGCGGACCCACGGTGTCCATTGCTCTTGGTGATGTACATTGGGGCCTGGTCGAGCCCAGACTTGTATACATTGCATCCCACAGCAAGTTGGGCAGGAGACCTTTTGTGTCCATTGCCTCTGGCCATCTTCAATGGGGCCTGGTTGTGCCCATGGCTCTACAGTCTGGATACAACAGCAGGCCGGACAGTGGACCCCTTGTGCCCACTGCCCTTGCAGATTTCCATTGTGGCCTGGATGTACCTGTGGCTGTGCAATACGCATACAACGGCAGGACTGGCGGTGGACTTCAGGTGCCCATTGCCCATGTTGATGTACATTGGGGCCTGGTGGTGCCCGACATATGGCAACATTCCAGTCAGGACTTCCTCTATAACGCTCTTTGTGTGTCCGCTGCGCTTTGTGATTTGCATTGGGGAATGGCGATGCCTGTAAGCCGTCCGGGTTCCCTTCTCTGGCTTGCAGCAGGTCCTACTCAGACGCTTTGTTTGTGTGAACTTCTGCGCTGGCCTCCCCTCTTGTGGATGGGTGGCCGACCAGGGGATGTGAGGTCCCCTCAGTTGGCTGGGGCCTTTGCTCCACAACGGCAAATTTTGCTGCCAGCTGTACCTCTCCTCTCCTGCCAGAGAGTCTTTTGATGAATGAGTATGACCGAGTCTTTTCTGCTGGTGGCCACCCGTTCCCTGGCCGCTTTACAACAGGCCTTGCGACGAGGAAACACCCAGAGGCGGATCCTTTCGAACGCCGTCTCTGCAAATTTTACATGAGCCACCTCCTTTGTGAGAGGTTCGTTTGGCTATTTTTGCATGTTGGTGACCTGGCGATACAATTCTTTTGTACTCTGCCTTTGGTCTGTGGGTTCTACCTCCTCAAGCTGCTCCTTCACGCCGTGAGCCTTCGAGGAGGAAGACATAACTTTGACAATCTGGTCAGAGTCGCCAGGGGCGCCTCTTCTTGGATACCACTACAAATGGGTCAACCATTGTGTGGAAAGGCGACACCCCTTCCACGTCGTCGAGGCAGAACTATGCGTGGCTGCGGATACTCGAGGGATCTGTGGCTCCTCCTGGCAATTGTGTGCTATCTTTGCAACCTTGCTGCTGCGGCTAGGGGTCAAGTTCCGCCAGACCTGCGTCCGAATTTCCGCATGGACCCGGGGCAGTACACTGGGGCGGAGGCGGATAACACGCCCTTGATGATCTTGCCACAGGCGGCGCAGCAAGAGGACTCGGACCCGGAGAGTGAGCCAGAAGACAGTTCCTCCTCGAGTAGTGCTAGCGTTGCACATCACAATGTTCTCTTTCGTGCTTTTGGCTTCGGCTATGTGCCTGAGCACCACGCTGTGCGGCTGAGATGTGGCACGGCGCTCTTTCGAGCTTTACAACTTATAGATGTGGACATTGAGGTTGCGACAAGGTCCTCTCGAGGTCAATTCGTACCGCTGATGGGAGCACCCATTGACGAATCATACCCAATTTTATGGGTGCCTAGATGGATTGAGCACACCGGCAAGCGGCTTGCTGTGCTGGACGCTACCCACGTCGGCTGGGAATCTTCGGTCTTGGTCTTCGAGGATTCGATAGTCAATGTGCGCATTATCTCCGAAATGCTTCAGCATATTTGAAGAATTTGGCAGCCTCATTGGCAGATCTTCATCCCTGCCAGATGGTCTGGACCTCTGTCGTTGGGTATTAGCGTCTCCATCAACAATGGAGATGTGATCTTTATCTCCCCAGACGCTTTCTGCCCGATGTTTCATGACAACTCTGTTGCGGCATATGTGGCATATGATAGCTGGGGAGTTGACCCCGGCGCGGAGGGCATCCCTGAGGACCTTCCTGGTGGGCCCAGATTTACACAAGTCATCCACGATCACCAAGCCTGTTTGGTCGAGACAGACAGACCTTCGGATGAATCACATGTCTTGGATATATCTGCGGCCTTGATACAACCTGCAATGCCGAACCCTACACTTCAGAGCCCGGCTGAGTATTTCCACCCTTCTACCTGCCGAGGGGTGGCCGTGGGAGGACCTTACTAGTGAGGATGGGTCGTTTGTGGTCTTCCTGGATTTGCGCAATTTGTGTCGGGAGAACTCGGCTGTAACTCTCCGAGACAGACATATTGCGACTGAGGACCTTGCTCCGGTACTTGGTCTTTTTGTGGAGGCCATCGACGGATTTTTCCTGGCTATTAAAGGCGGTCGTAGGCGTGGAGGCTTTGTTGAAGTGTGGCCAGGATGTGTCCTCCGGGCTGGCATCATCTCCGTTGCTGAGGCTTTTTCGGATGATTCGTCGGCAGATGAGGACGGCTTTGAGGACCAGGATAATGATGCCCCAGACAATCGGGGCGATCCTTTGCCGGATGGTGACATCGAGGGTCATGGTACGGCTGAGTGTCCAAGGTCTCGAAGTCGATCGCCAAGACGCACAGTGCCGCCACAGGGGACTGGTGCACGAGCTGACATTGGGGATGCTATCAACAGAGCTGGCTCCCGTGGTTCATTTGTTGGAAATCTGTGGAACAGATACGTTGCTGCATTTGTTTTCCTGAATGCCTGGGTCAGAGGCGGCTCGGTGATCCTTCCTTGCCAGGAAGAAGACGCATGGGGTCATCTTGCCCCCCCTCACGCCTTTAATGATCCCGACTGGCTGCATACTGGTTTTGAAGCAGATTGGTGGATGTGGACGCCCACTCCTTTCAGTGATGACGGTGAATGCCCTGGCGCTGACACCCCTCGTAAGCCGTCTGCTGATGCCAGTACGACCAGTTGCCGAACGGAGCCTGAGCGAGAAGTTTTCTTTGGCCTTGAGCTTTCTGAACTTCAGACAGTTCTTGATGCTGCCAAAAATGATGACCTTTGGGCTCTCTGTGATAGTTTGGCTTGGTTCCTTGGTACGCTAAATGTTCGTTGCCTTTCCTTAGACTGCACTTTGCCGAGTACTGCCAGGGAGAGCATTTCACAGACTTGTCAGGCTGAGCCTGCCCCCTGGGCATTGTAAGAGGGATGAACAGCACCCCTACATCCTGTCCCGTGTACCTATACAACTTGCTTCTGAGCTTGAGACTTCGCAGTATAGACAGCACACCTGCCCCGCAACAGATGCTCTGGAGCTCCCAGGACAATTGCAGGCCGGAATTCTAAACGCTCAATAACTCCTCCAGATTTGTTCGGATTCCGGACAATTGGTTTCTGCCGCGCACTCTCATGCGGTCCTGGGATTCTTTTGCGTTGGTCCGGGATGTCTCTGCTTGGACCCTGCACCCTCATACGGTCCTGGCTCTGGGACTCTCCTCTGTGCAAGCTCAGCCTGAACACGGGGATCTTCATGTTTACACTGATGGTTCCTCCTGTGATGGTACCGCTGGCTGGGCGGTCGTCCTGGTAGCCAACGAGGTGATGTCGGGTAGCAGCAGCTTTTCTGGCTGCTTTGGTGGAAAAGTGGCCGAGAGTGATGATCTTGGGACTAGCAGCACTGATGCACTGCAGGCGGAGCAAGCGCTCTTTGTTGGGCCTGCCTGTGGACGCTCCCTCAGCTTGAGGACCTCCTTGTCCCTCAGCTTGAGGACCTCCTTGTTTCATTCCGGCGCATTCTCTTCTGCTGGGATTGTACCAGCGCTGGGTACGGCGCCAGTGGTGACTGCTGCCTGGCGGATAGCCCATTGTCCGGGCCTCTTCGTGGACTTTTTGCGCTCCTTCAAAGCGTTGGGGGCGAGCGAGTACAGGGTCGCCACGTCAAGGCGCATGAGGGCCATCCGTGGAATGAATTGGCGGACACTGCTGCCAACCGATTCCGCAGAGGCGATAATCATTCATCTTGCATGGCCGACGTGGCTGAGGCCTTCAGAAGTGTCGATTGGCAATGGGCACCGGTTATTTGCAGTGTTGGGTTCCCTTCGGTTGCGTTCCCACTGGAGTTTCCGGCTTCCTGCCAGCTATGGTACGGTCCCAAAGAATGCTATTCCAATTCGGGGCCAAGCACCGCCACAAGGTGATGGGGATGAAAGCTGTTGGCGTGGCCTCCGCCTTAAAGTTGCAAGTGCAAATGTTCAGGGCATTCATGGCAAGCATAAATTCCTTGAGGAGCAGCTGCTGGATGGTTGCTATGATGTTGCCTGTTTCCAGGAAACTAAGACTAAAGGAGGCATGTTTTCCAGTTCCTCCTTCTACCGCTTCGCATCTGAGCATGAGACACACTGGGGAGTTGCGGTCTGGATCCGAAAATCGCTTGTTGTTGACGGCAACTTGACCATGCTTCGGAACTCTGATTGCAGAGTCCTGGTCTGTGATCCCAGGATTATTGTGGTCCAGGTGCGGCTCGAGGGTTTCAGAATCAATTGCATCTCAGCTCATCTACCCCAGCAGGCGCATGGAGCCCAGAGTCGACAGGCCATTTTCAACAACAATGAGTCGGTCATCGGAGCTGTCTCCACGCCTACGTTGATTGTCCTGGGAATTGATGCCAATGCGAGACTTCCCTGTGGATTTGGTGATACAACTGGGCACATTGAACATGGAGAGCCAGACTCATTTGGCTATCAGCTGGCTGAGTTCCTGTCCGATATCGGGCTCTGGGTGCCTGCTACATTTGCTGATTACCATACTGGTGAAACGGCCACGTGGCCGCGGGCGCACCTCTCGTATTGACTTCGTTTGTTTAGGCCGAGGGCTTCCGTGTTCGGAGCTTGCATCCTGGGTAGCTCTCGATTTGGATCTCCTTGCGACAAACGAAGATCACTACGCTGTCGCTGTCAGTGGCTGTTTCTGGCTGAAAGTCTGGGATGGCAACCCTGGACACCTGTGGCGCAGGCAATACAACGTGACTAAGCTCGGCTCACCCAAGGCCAAGGCCATCCTCAGGAGTGAGCTTGAGGCTGTTGGGCCAGTGCCGTGGCGGACCGAAGTCAATGAGCATGCGGCATACCTTGAGCAGATCTCCCATGAAATCTTGGATCGACATTTTGCAATCAAGGCCAACGGCCCACGGTCATCTTACATCAGTGATGCAGTTTGGCAACTTCGCGAGCACAGGAACAGGTTGAAGGCACGCACCAGATTTTGGAAGGAAGGTCGTGGTGTTGCCCTCCTCAAAGCTGGCTTTGCTCGATTAGCCGGGCGCAGCTGCAATCTCAAGTGGCATAAGATAGGCCTGCTGTATGACCTTTTTGCTGCCGCCATCAAGTTTAGTACGGGTCGCATCAAGTCTTGTATAAGCGCTGACAAGCAGCATCTCCTGCAGCACATTGTGCAAGCCAGTGCCAACGGGTCCATGCAGCAGATCCAGAAAGCAATCAAGCGCTGTGGTCTGGGAAGACGTGTAAAAAATCAGTCTGGAAGGCCTGCCCCCCTTTTGCTTGATTCTGAAGGGCGACCCGTCTCCAACCGCGAGGCTTTGGACGATCACTGGCTGCAACATTTTGGACAGATGGAGGCCGGAGAAAGGATCAGCTTTCAGGAGTTTGCCAGCATTGTTGCTGCGCCCAGAAACCTCCCAGAGGTCACTATTGACTTGAGGATACTCCCCACCTTCCAGGAAGTCGAGCGGCAATTCCAACAAGTTCGATGTGGAGCCGCGTCGGGACTTGACGGCCTCCCTCCTGAGCTTTTCAAGGCTGCTCCACAGTTACTGGCTAGGCTATTTCATCCTTTGATGGTGAAGTCTTCGCTTTGCCTTGCGCAACCAGTGCAGTGGCGAGGGGGAGTGCTTTTCGAGGCGTACAAAAATAGCGGCTCTCCTTCATTGTCTGACAGCTATCGGTCATTATTCGTGTCCAGTGTGCCAGGAAAATGTTTCCATAGAATACTGCGCAATAAAGCTTCGACTGTCATTGAGGCTGTCCTTGATCCACTCCATTGCGGCGGCCGCAAACAGCGTTGCCAGCCCTTGCGGCTCATCTGTTGGTGAGGGCGCGTCGAGTTAGGAGACTGAGCTTCTGCGCCCTGTTCCTTGACACGAAAAGTGCATACTACAGAGTGGTGCGGGAGCTTGCGTTTGGATCCTTGGAGGATGACAGAGCGGTGGTTGAGCTCTTCCAACGCTTTCAAGTACCGCCGTCGGCACTGGAGGAGCTCATGAAAGTGGTTCATGCTGGTGGAACAATGGCGCAGGCCGGCATGAACGAGCATTTGCGAGCCCTTGTTCAGGACCTCCACATCCATTCTTGGTTTGTCACTCCGTACTCAGACGGAAGCAAAGTCGCCATGTCTCGCGCGGGTTCGCGTCCTGGTGAATCGTGGGCTGACATTGTTTTCGCTTTTGTCTACTGCAAGGTGCTGGATGAAATCAAGCAGGAGGCCCAGAGTGCAGACCTGGTCTTGACGCTTCCCTCTGCCGGAGACTGCTCACCTTTGCAGTGGAGGAATCGGATGGATTTGTTGATGCTCCTGTACATGCGACATGGGCGGACGATTCTGTGTTCTTCACTGGGGATGGATCGGCTCTTACAACCTTGGAAAAGGCAAAGAGTGTCTGGCGCTTGAGCGCTGCTACAAGCATGGCACGCAACCGAACCTTAAACGTGGTAAATCTGCCATGCTACTTGCCCTACGCGGCAAGCACAGCAGAGCAGTTCGAAAGAAGTTCTTTCAGGAGGTCGATGACACGCTGGATATTCCGCTTTCGGACGGCAGCTCGGTGCGAATTTTTCTTGAGGTCCAGTATACCCACCTGGGAACGGTTCTTCACAGGGATGGCACGATGCTTCCGGAGGCAAAACTTCGTGTTGGGATCGCCGCTGCTGCTTACAAGAAGTATGGTAAGCTCCTTTTGTCCAACCCTGAGATCCTACAGAGCACTCGCATTCAGCTGTTTGACTCTTTGGTGACTGGTGTTTTCTTCAACTTGGTGTTGTGGACTCCGGACTGTAAAGGCTGGGATCATCTTGAAAGCGGTTTTGCCCTGCTTCAACGACGCTTGTTACGTACTCACATGAGTAAGGAGGACACCCTGCTTATTAGGGCTGGCGATGTTGCGGCGCTTCTTGGAGTTAGCGACTTGGCTCTCATCAGCCGTAGACGCCGGCTTGGCTTTCTGGTGACGATGCTCCGAGTTGGTGATCCTGCGATGTGGGCCTTGATCCAGTATGAAGGATCTTGGGCGAGGCAGCTCTGCGACGACCTCAGATGGCTTTGGACAATGGCCCCCACGTGCTTGCCATTTCCGGACAAGAGTTCATGGAGCGAGTGGAGTCACTTCATTGCGCAGCGTCCTGGGGCCTTGAAAGCTTTAAGGCTGTGACGGCTGCGCGAGGACAGGCCCAACTCGAGACCTTCACCATGCGGACCCTGCGATTCCTGGGTACATGGGAGAGAGCTCAGTGTCCGGACAAGGGGCGCACCTTGGATGCACTCTTGTGGTGTGGACCTTGTATGAGGCCGTTTCGATCAAAGGCTGCTTTGGCTACCCACTTCTTCCAGATGCATGGGCGTGTTGCCCGATTCCGCCATTTTGCCTTTGGGGATACCTGCAAGGCGTGTGGACGTCGGTTCCGTGGTCTGCAACAGCTTGCGTTGCATCTGCGGGCCAATTCTTGGTGCTGCGATGCTTTGTCTGCTGCGGGGCTATGGTCCGATGCTGTTTTGCCGGGTATAGGCAGCTCAGCCTGGATTGAGGCGAGCCGGAAAGACCTTGGCCTGACTTTGCCGTCTGAGCCCACCCTTTCAGTGCGGGTGGCAACGGATATGGAATTAGCCTGGGAGGAGAACTCTGTGTTGGTTACTGCTTTCTTAAGTGGTGCAGAGAAGCTGCTGGACTTGCCCATTGTTGATGCGGAAGGGGCGTTCCAGTTCTGCATCGACCTCTCAATGTTTCCACTGTTCCCGGACGAGCTCGATGGCATTGCTGCCAAGACGCATGAGCTGCTGGTGGCCTCTGGGGTGGATAGGTCGGTGGACCTGTGTGATTCCGTCAAAACGTTTTTCGCTGATAGCGGGATGGCGGAGCTTACTGAGCAGCTGAACCATGAGGTCCTGGAAGATGTTTTCTGGAGATCCCCTGGGCCGGTGAGGCCGGAGACTACCGGAGACTGGCTTAAGGTTTCGAGTCCTTCTGAAGGGTCAAAGTTGCACCTGGTTGCCCTCGAGTCTCTTTGTCAGATGACTGGCACGGGGGGGACTGGCCACCGGGGCGTGCGGTTCCGTCCAGGGAATGTGGCATGCTCTACTCCAGTTCAGCTCTCTTTCTGCGGCATCTGCTGGAAGCCCTGACAGTCAGCTGGGGCTGGCTCATAGCTCCCCCTTGCTTCTGGCAGAACGCCGTTTCAATCCCATTTGTTCGGTTTCACCTCTTGCAAGATAATTAGGCTGCGACCAACTTATAGCACTCAAAGTCAAAGTCAAATGTCCCTAGAACCCCATTATCTGGGTCCTGAAAACCCTTAGGGAACAGCAACTCCAATAGTTCGAGGCATCAGAGCTGCTTCTGTGAGTTCCCAGGTCTGACAGCCTGCGAAGTTCGCTTGCTCTTCAAGCACACAAACCCAAAGGGTTTCCCATGTACCTCCTTAAACCATACAACAACCCTAAACCCCAAACCCTACACGATATAGCTACGTGGACCCTTGTGGGAAAAGCCTTTACTGACCACGGGTAACCACTCAGTCAAGAATTTGCTCCATCGTCCTTTGCCTCACGAAGCAACCTTTGCCAAACTAGGGTTTACGCAAGGGCTCCTATGTAGTCCCTTTTTGGGTTTGTTATGGTTTTCTGGTAAGGGATTCTATTGTAGTATCCCAGAAGGAACTATGTAGGAGGGTTTGGGTGGCTAAGGGTTTAGGGCTTAGAGTTTAGGGTTTAATCAGGCTTCAGAGCTTAGGGTTTAAGGTTTCGGGTAAGGGTACACAGACTCATGATCTTTTCTTCACCTTAATCGGATGGCAGTTTCCCTACGTGGGGGGGGGGACCATAGACCCCAAACTATTATAATCCTTATTCTAGGGACACCCACCCCCCCAAAAAAGGCACCTCTGATTTTGGGAAACCCTAAACCCTCAACTCCAGCTCCTATAGAACCCTAACCCCTGTAGAACCCCAACCCTAACCCCTATAGAACCCTTCTATAGCCCTTGAAAAGGAGCCCTAATTGTTGGAAACCCTAAACCCTAAAACCTATATAACCCCTATAGAACCCCTATATCCCTTTTAAAGGGACAGACCCCAAGGTATCCCTAATTTTGGGATACCCCCAGATATGAACGGAGGGGCGTGGCTCCAAGAGGGGGGAGGCCCAGGTACCAGGCTGAAACCTGAAAACCACAATTTAAGGTTTGGGATTTAAGGTTAAGGGTTTAGGGATTAGCGCCGGTTTAGAGTTAAGGGTTTAGGGATGAGGGTTTAAGGTTTAGGAATTAGGGTTTGGGGATTAGGATTCAGGCGTTCAGGGTTCTGTTAAAATCCTGGCCAATATTGTTATGACTGTCGAGTCCTACACCCTAAACCCTAAACCTCACAAATGCTAACACCCTAAACACTCCTCCAACTTAGGCCGCGAGCTTCGGGGGCTCCATAAGGGGTGCACCACCCTATACCCCAGGGATCCAAATAGCCCAATGTAGGTAATATTTACCGACTTTAGGGCCCAATGTAGATAATATTTGTGCACATGGATCCCTAGGGATAAGTCCAATATGTTCATGGGCGATACGCAAAAGCTCGGATTTTTCTTGAGTAGATATCCCTGAACAACAGAAAGGCAAAGTGGTGCTTATCCCGAAGTGCCACTAGTACACCTGCAAACCCGTGCTGCGCTGATGATGTAGGACCCTACACTAGCTGGGAGTCACACGAAGGGATATCGCTCGTTCATGGTCGACAAGCTGATTTCCTGCCAAGGATTTCTGTCACAATGGGAGGGGGTGTGGAAAACACTGTGACTGGTACCACATTAACAGGATGACTTCTTACCATAAATCTTCTGGGTCGGGGCGGTCGGTGACTGCAACTTTACAAACAATCTCGGAAAAAATCTAGCACATTCGCTAAACTCCTCACAATGCCGGAGCACCTTGTCGACTCTACGTTTAAACCTACTCACGACCCCTAAGACTGTGGACATAGTGTAGCTAAAGAAAACCCTTTCTCAACATTCAACAAAGCAAGATACAGACTGCCAACTCAGTGTGACTAATGAATTACAAGAGAATTTCTCCACAGGTTCAGGGACCCCAATTCCAAGGATCCCATAAAATGGGTTAGGGTTTAGGGCTTCACGGGGGGGGGAATATGGCACTGCCATATAGGCATTCTGAGGGAACTAACTTGTGAACTACACAGGCTCTAACGTGAGCTCACTAGATTTCTGAAGGCTCGTCTGGCTTGCTTGGAGAGAGCGATCGATCTAAACCCTGAATCCTGAGACTCACGCCCTTAACCCAGAACCCAAACTGAAAATCCTAGACCCTCAACGGAAAGCAGTATAAGCCCTAGATGTTAATGAGTAATCCTTAACCACTGAAATCTGAACCCTACAGGCTATGTAAATCTTATGCCCACCCTAAGCGCTCAACCCTGATTAAACCCTCATTCAACCCAAAATCCCAGTTTCGAAGCCTCAGAGGCAGATAGATAGCCACATCGTCCGTTTTACTTTGCTGATTGTCCATTTTCCCTCCCGTCTTAGCCTAAACCCAGAACCATAAACCTTTGAAGTTCAAAATCTTGAACCACAAGCCCGCAGCAAAACGCATCATTGGCAGCTATACTGCTTTCAATATGGAATGCCTCATTGGGCTTGTATCATAAGGTGCGTTCCCAACCAGAACCAGTCCTTGCTCCAAACCGTCAAACCTTATAAACCCTTCAACCCTAAAGCTTCAGCCCTTAACCCCAAGGCGAAGCTCCAAATCGGACAGACCCACCTAAGGACCCTATGAAGGAAATTAAGCCTCAACCCTAGACCCTAAACCCTAAACCTTAAACCCTAAACCTCAAACCCTAAACCTTAAACCCGTATTCCTAAACCCTAACCCCTGATAAAGGCTTAGGGCTTAGGGTTTACGGTTTAGGGTTCTCCACTGTGGGAAACCTTCGGATATCATCTGAACCCTGGACCCTAAAACCATCGAAAACTAAAACACCATAACCCCAAACCTAAACACCCATAAACCCCTACATCCCTTCAAACCCTTCCCTCTAAACCCTAAGGACCGCTAAACCCTACAGCTTTCAAAGCTTTAAACCGCTCAATAGTAGGGAGTTGGCTGGTTTTAACATAAACCTCATAATACTGTAATCCTTATCATGGGGGGAACCACCAACAAAGGTACCCCTAATTGTGGGAAACCCCAAAACCTAAAACCTAAACTCTAATCCCAAAACCCTGTGGATCCCCTACATGGGTGGTTGTCAAAATTATGGTCCCTTTTTGAATCCCTATTACAATACTTCACCTAATATATCAAGGTAACCAAAAAGGGACCATAATTTTGACAGCCGCC